ATAAGGCCAATATTCAAAAAGGGGTCAAAATCTTTACCAAGTAATTATAGATCTGTTAAACATCTATAATTGGGAAGATACTGGAGAGTTTAACCACTTCCCGTCCGGTCGTTTATAAACGGCCTCCCCGCCCCCTGCTTGTGTGTTCTCTCTGGGAGCTTGCAGCACCGCGATCCAGTGCCCACTGTGTCCTCTGATCGTCGTATGGGACCTCTGTGCGAGGTCCTGATCATGTGATCACTGATTAGCCAATCAGTGATCACATGCAGAGTAGTAAGCAAGATGTCACCTCTGACATCATTACTATGTGTGAAATCTATGAATGATCACAGAGGTCACATGGTACAAGGCTATTCACTACTGCATTGTACCATGTAACAAGCTGTGACCAATCACAGCTCACACAGTATTTCTCAACAGCTGCAAGAATGCAGCCAGAGAAAAGGAGAAATGATTGCTTTTACAGCCTTTATGGGTGTAAAAGCAATCAGTATAAAAAAAAAGCAAATATTCATCACCCCCCACAAGCAGTACAGTGTCACCATACTGCTAGGGTGACAGTATGTAAAAACAAAAAAAAACATAATATAAAAAAATAAAAATGTAGAAACAATTTTGAAAAAATTATAATTTTTGGTTATAAACTAATTTGAGTTATTTTTTTTTTACTAAAAAGGTAACTGAATACATTTTGGCCAAAATTCATGATGAAATATTTATTTGCAAAAGTTTATAAGAAAAACACTTTTTTTCAAACGTTTTGGACATATTCATTTATATAGCAAAAAAAAAAAAAATCCCAGTGGTGAATAAATACCACCAAAATAAAGCTTTATCTGTCTCAAAAAAATGCTAAAATATTCATATGGGTACAGTGTTGCATGACCGCACAATTGTCATTCAAAGTATGATAGCGCTGAAAGTGTCCGGAAGTGGTTAATAAAATACCACATAAATGCGTTCTTGCTAGAAAATATATTTTAAGCAACAGACAGCATGGACTCATGAAAGACAGAAGTTGTCAAACAAATCTGATTTCTTTTTATAGGGAGGTGAGCAAAACCTTGGACAGAGGGGTGGCGGTGGACGCGGTATACTTGGACAGAGGGGTGGGGGTGGACGCGGTATACTTGGACAGAGGGGTGGCTGTGGGCGTGGTATACTTGGACAGAGGGGTGGCGGTGGATGTGGTATACTTGGACAGAGGGGTGGCTATGGACGTGGTATACTTGGACAGAGGGGTGGCTATGGACGTGGTATACTTGAATTTTGCAAAAGAGTTTAACACAGTTCCCCACACACGGCTAATGTGTAAGGTAAAGTCTACGGGCTTGGAATATCCGTATGTAAATGGATAGAAAACTGTCTAAAAGATCGTATTCAGAGAGTAGTAGTCAAATGATTCATACTCTGAATGGTCTAGGGTTGTCAGTGGTGTACCCCAAGGTTCAGTGTTGGGACCCATACTTTTTAATATAGTTATAAACAATATAGGGTCTGGGATCAAAAATAGAATTTCAGTCTTTGCAGGTGACACCAAGCTGTGCAGTGTTATAACGTCCTTACAGGATGTCTCCAATTTACAAGCCGACCTCAATGCTCTTTGTAATTGGGCAACTATGTGGCAAATGAGGTTTAATGTTGATAAATGTAAGGTTCTGCACTTGGGAGCTAAGAATATGCATGCATCATACATACTGGGGGGGGTACAACTGGGGGAATCAATGGTGGAGAAGGATCTGGGAGTTCTGGTAGATCACAAGCTTAATAATGGCATGCAATGCCAAGCTGCGGTTTCTAAAGCGAGCAAAATCCTCTCTTGTATTAAAAGAGGTATAGACTCCAGAGAGAGAGATATCATATTACCCCGGTACAAATCATTAGTAACACCTCATCTGGAATATGCAGTTCAGTTTGGGCACCAATTCACAAAAAGAACATTGGGGAACTGGAGAAAGTACAGAGAAGGGCAACCAAACTGATAAGAGGCATGGAGGAGCTCAGCTATGAGGAACGATTAGAGGAACTGAATTTATTCTCCCTAGAGAAGAGAAGATTAAGAGGGGATATGATCAACATGTATAATACATCAGTAATTCAGTGAACTCGGTGTAGAGTTATTCACCCTGAGGACATCACAGAGGACAAGGGGGCACTCTTTACGTCTGAAGGAAAAGAAATGTATTCTCCAAATACAGAAAGGTTTCTTAACAGTAAAAGGTTTGAAAATAAGGAATAGACTCCCTCAAGAGTTGGTTCTTGCCAGCTCAGTGAATTGCTGTAGCCTCCCTGGAGGTATTTCTGAGTGTAGCTTGGGGTAAAGTTTCAGTACTACTGTTAGGGCTCCAGGTATGACCAGAGATGTGTGGACTGACACAGGGAAACACAGGCTTCAGGTATAGTATAAACAATACAATTCATTAAAGACTAAACAATACATAAACGCAGTGCAAGACTAAACATAAACACAGTGCAAACAAACCAAACATCCAACAGATAACAATAAGAACAATACTAAACGTAGTCGGGCAGGCCGGGTCGGTAGCAAATGGGCAGGCAAGGTACAAGGAGCAGGCGGAAGAGTAGTCAGGAATAGCCGAGGTCGGTACAGGCAGAGTTCGTGCAGAGTCAGGATTCAAGCAGGCAGGATCAGGATACAGGGGCCAAGGGAAACTATACACCAAGGCCCTGACTGCAGGCCTGGCCACTCCTTAAATACACCTCCTGCAATCAGCCTCAGGTGATGACTTGATTGCAGGAGTGAGCTTCTGGCTGCTGAGAGCACCCACTGGCCAGCCCTGGTACTGCAGCCCACACGGCAGGTGAGTCCCACCACCAGTGGTGAGTCCATTCCTGACAACCACAAGCAGTAATCCCGAGCTACACCGAGCTTACCATGCGTCGCTGCTCCGGGATCTGTTCTTCTCTTACCTTGTCCTGCGCTCCCGCGATGTCCCTCCTGCAGTGTCCCCTGTAATGTCCTCTGGCGGATGCCGGCATCTGTCTTCTGGGTTCCGTTCCCTGCGACGTACAGGGATGGAACGGCGGGAAATTTGAAAATTACAAAAAGTGACATTCACTAAATTCACTAAAATCACATAGTATAACATTACTGTATCAAACCATTTCACATACATTTTGTCCCGAGTGCTTTGTCCTGTGCCCTGCCTACATTTTTACTGTTCTTTCTGCCTGGAAACTGAGAAACGTCCATGGCGCCCAAAAAGCGTCCCTTTAGGTCAAAATCAGTTTTAGACAGGCTAGAGAACAGCGATAGTAAATCAGAACCACTTGCAGAATTAAGTGATAATGATTCGTGGGGAAATTCGTCATCAGACACTGAAAACTATTTTGCAACTTTGCTCAGTGATGTGCGAACTTAGCGCTATATTTCAAAATTCAGTGTTTTTGGTTTGATTATATTATTGAATTAAATTTATTATTATTATTATATTATTATTTTTTATGATTATTTATTAAATTATAATTTATGATTTAGTATTTTAAATTTTAATATACCCGGGATGTTTACTAGACTCTTGTTCGGACAGATTTCAGTGAGTTATTCCTAAAAATTATAGGCCTACAATAAAAAAAAACTACATATTTCCATGCAAAAAAAATGTACCGCTTTGAGCACAGAAATATGGACATAATCAGACCACTAGGGAGGTTAAAAAAGTCCTGGATTATTTCTGAGATACACAGAATATAACTGGATACTAACATTTATAGGTAAAGTTGATCCAGGGAATATCCGATTGCCTCGATCATGAAGGAATTTTTTCCCCTGCAGGAGCAAATTGGATCATTCTTTGCTGGTTTTTTTGCATTGCTCTGGATCAACTGTGGGTGTAGGATTATAACTTTTTTTTTTTTGTTGAACTGGTTGAACTTTTGTCTTTTGTCAGCCAGACTAACTATGTAACTGTATACATTTTCCTAAGAATTTTCAGATACATTTCTGTATGAAATTCTGCCATTGTATACCAAGCTTTAGAAGACAAAGTCAGCAATGGAGACCTCAAATTTCATACAGTACAATTTTCATTTAGGCCAATCGCTTTCATATGAACTAAAGTTAAAAAAAAGAAAAGAAAAAATTTTAAAAAGACTATATTTTCCCTACCCGGCACATATTCTACAGATAGCAGATCCTCTTTAAAGTACCAATAATCACATATGACACAATAACAGCACACAGTATACATTTCCACTTATTGGCTTTGTAAGATGCAATCATCTGATATGTCTTTGTGTCTGGCGTCATCTGGGTATTTATCCATACTTCAAACCTAGAAATGTGATCACTGAAAGTAAAGCGCACAAGTGTCATAAATAAATAAGTGCTATCGAGTATTATCTGGAGATAATATGATATATGTTTTGTTCTTATAGAATCCTCATTAAAAATAGATGAATTCCTATTTGTCAGCCAAAAGATTACACATAGCAAGCTCTCTGGGGCCTTCTGATGCACAAGACCTGATGAGCGCCTGGAATAGGTTTTCTTGGATTTTCCAACACGATGTCTTTGTCTATGATGTTCTCACTGAACGCACTTCCAAGAAATGTACAAACCCACAAAGGCAAATATATCAATGAGAATCTCATTTGTGGCTAAAGACCCGAGGGAGTCAATGGTGCTTGCTCCATTACACCTGCTACCAGACATATGGAATCTGTGAATTCCCATGGTAAGAGCTTTCACTCCTGCCATGAGAAAAAATAGCATCATTGTAAAAGTGCTAAGTATAATGTATTTAAATCTGAGCTTCAGCCAAGCTAAAATCGAACACTGTGAAATTTGGTGTCTTATGATGTCTAAATGGGTGGTTATTATTACTAGAATCAGTGTTGCTATTTGTATAAAATTAGCCATTTCTTTTTATCAATCTAGGTCAACAGTGGTCAACTTATGGGTGGGGCTAAGCTCCTGATATGGGGACCCTCCTGAACGTGCTTGCTAATGCCCTGGGAACAGGGGCACGGGGCCATAGTCAGGCCAAGCTCAAACTTATGTGGCATCCCAACCAGGGGCAGACTGACAACTCATGGGGCCCCCGGGCAATAGGGGATCATGTGGCCCCTGTGTCCTTGTCCAAACTCAAAAAAGCCTATGAAAAAGGTACCAGGGGCATCTCATGGGGCCCCCTACTGACCCCGGGCCCTCAGGCAGTGCCCGAGTTTCCAAATGGTCAGTCCGCCCCTGACCCCAACTCAGAAGCAAGCTGTTCACTTTTGCACAGTTCCACTTGTTGGTTAACAACACTCTACAGTAAAAGCACTCTTCCTATGTCACCATCTATTTCCCTTTCTGATTGCAGCAGCTATGAGGGGGACACAGCGGAGCTCATGTCCCACTCACCAGCACAGTTGTAGCCTAACACTTCACTCCCAGTGCCAGAAGAAGTTCTCACTTGTCACTATTGTGAAACACTTCTTGCTACTGAGCTTAAAATGGAACTGCACCCAAAAGGGGAAGTCCCGCTTTATTTATTTCAGGTACTTATATAGCGCTGTCAATTTACACAACACTTTACATATATATATATTGCACATTCACATCAGCCCCTAAGGGGCATACAACTTAAAGTCCCTAACTTACATTCATACATACACATACTAGAGCCAATGTAGACAGGATCCAATTAACCTACCAGCATGTCTTTGGAGTGTGGGAGGGAACTGGAGTACCTGGAGGAAACCCACGCAGGCACAGGGAGAATATGCAAACTCCAGGCAGGTGATGATGTGGTTGGGATTTGAACCAATGACCCTAGTATTGCCATGTGGAAGTGCTAACCATTTAGCCACTGCACTTTAAAGACTGGCCCCCCCATTAGGGATTGGCATCTTTGGGGAATGGGTACCTGAAATTGACAGGTACCCGCTCCCACTTCCAGTGCGATCACCTAGGCGATCAGAAGTGGAAGATATCCTCTTCCCCTCCCTCCACGTAGTCTTTTGGGACACGTGACAGGTCCCAGAAGACTACAGGAACATTCAGAAAGCGCAGTGCTTCTCGCGCATGCGCAGTGGGCACCCAGCTGTAAAGCCGCAAGCTGTCACAGCGAGATGCCCACACTGAAGATGCTGGGAATACCAGCCAGTCAGTGAAACGGGCTGCGGGGAAGACACCTTGGGCTCTAAGGACAGGTAAGTGGCTGTTTTTTAAAAGTCAGCAGCTACAGTTTTTATAGCTGCTGACTTTTGTTTTTTTACAGTGTGACTGGAATTCCACTTTAAAATAATCTCTTGTCACCGTACCCTCCGGCTAGGTCCCTACGCTACCTATGTCGCGACATTGGTACCAAACTGGGGCCCCAGCCACTAGGGAGGGGTTCAAGCTCATCAAGCCCCTCACTACTGGGGCTGTCATCAACCCTGCCAGGTACTACTTCCACTTGACTGTTTGTCTTAGCATTCGTACTTTTGGGTTTGTTATGGCAGCAGAAGACAGGTATATACTCTGTTAGCTTCTCTTGCTTGGTTAACTCTTTGTGAGGTGGTCCATATGTAACTCCTTTTCATCCCCTTTATGTACAAGCCCTCGTTCAGCTAGGCCCTGCATGCACCACTTTAGGGAAGAACTTCAGACCAGGCCAAGTAACGATTAACTCTCGCTAAGAATGATGTAAGATTACAGCAAATACATGGTTTCCATAGAACAGCCTGTACATCTCCTGTCTTCTCATGCCCTTTCTCTACATGCCCCAGGCTGCCACTCATACCTTGCATGGGGTAAAGTCTATATTAGCAGGAGTCCACTTGTATTTAAAGGTTCTCAATGGGGAGCCCGCAAAGGGTTATCCTGGTGGAAGGATCCTCTTCCCTGCATGGCCCAACTTGTCTTGCTTAGTCTGTTTCTGCTGGCCAGCCCCAGGCCGAACCTGCCTCCCCTTTTATATGACACAGGGAGGTGGGGCAGAGCCCAAATTTGACCAGGAAAACACAGGACCTGTTTTAACTCCTTCCCGCCCGGGCAGTCTGTACTAGCTGCACATGGCACACAGTAAGTACCTGCTTACAAATCTACAAGGTTTAGAGGGCCTCAAGTGGTATCCTTGAAATCACCAAGGTGCTACACATATTATTCAGCATTTGAAATGCTACAGACGACTGTCAGAGACAGCAAATATAAAACAGGAGATGGTCAGATACATTGCACAGATGTGGTTGGAGACTGGAAACATGCTACATGATACAGAGACTGGCAACATGTTACATGAGACTACTAGAGATCACTGCTATTACCGCAAATGTATAAATCAAAGTCATTGCTGTGACCAGTGGTAGGTAATAGTATGAGTGTCTGTCTGTGGCCCAAAGATCCTGACCACCACAGTGTACCTGAAACATTCTGCTACCTCACTCCCATATTTGCTTGCTGCCACACTTGCTTTTGCTCCATTCAATGCATTTCTGAGGGCTTGGCTGGAAGAATGGCTGAGCCATGTACAGCCACCAGCTCCAGGATTGCAGTTTTGACGATCTTTCGATGTTTGATGGTTTCCATTTGTACTGGAGGAGAAATGCCAGTTTTCAATTATACTGGAAAAAAAAGCTTTTTCCAAACTAAAAAAAAATTCAAGATAAAAAAAATTGGAAATTAGCCAATGGTATCTAAATCATCTCTCTTTTATGACCATAGAGTACAATGAAATAGGAGGACCAGAAGGCTTCCACGTCCCCAAATAACTAAAAAGAAAGAACATCTTCCATGGGACTTTTTTCTTTTTTTTCTTTTGTATGAAGGTACCCCTGATGAAGAATGTGTATATCAATTGAAGTACATTGGGTAAATGTGGCAATTTAAGTTTGCTGTTTATTCATATGTATAATAACCTTTATTTGTGTGAATCAGGGGTATATTGTTATGAATTTATCTACAACCAGAGTATCTTTGTAAAAGTTCTTTTAAAAACAGGATTTTATATCCAGAAGGTTGTACAATAAAATTATATTTAAAAAAAATGTTTGTTGTGAAGTCTTAAATGACTTCAATCACCTGAAAAAATTTTGACAACAATTTTTTTTAATAATTGGTATTATAGTTGAGAACAGCCCAGTGTCCAAGGTGTGCCTAATCCACCACTGATGGTCACTACTGACTTCTGGGGTCTGAGAACCCCACAATAAGTACCAAAGGGCAGTATGCGCTATTTTGTGAGTCTAAAGATTCTTCTTCTTTACAGCTGATGAAGAGATCTAGCTTGATCACCTCCCTATGCATCTGCTTGCTTGATGTGCTTTACCATCTGCATTTCAAGATGTAAGAGGTATAACTGAGCACAGGACACTGCAGTCTGATGCTAGGCTTTGACATCAATAGGAGATAAAGTTGACAGCTCACCAGTTAGTTTTTCCTTAGATTTGATCCATTTTATCATCCAAATTTACCAATAATTATGTCCTGTAGAGGCCTAACTGAGCAATCTTTCTAACATCTAAGTAGATAAGGCCTCAAACTGCTAGCTACTAAATTATTGGTATACCTGGCTGAACTAACAGATCATATCTCCACATTCTATAGACATTTAGGGGAATATTTAGTAAAACTGGTGAGCACAGAATCTGGTGCAGCTGTGTATGGTATCCAATCAGTTTTTAGATTTTATTGTCAAAGTTTAATTCAACAAGCTGAAGTTAAAAGCTGATTGGCTACCATGCAAAGATTCACCAGGTCTTTGTGCACCAGTTTTAGTAAATCCCCCCATACTGTACATAAGACTAAACTCAATCGGATTGTAAGACATCACCCATGTAAATTACTTTTCTTCAACAGATGACTTCATAAATGGAAACAATTTTATTTGAGCAAAAAAAAAAAATGCTTGTTTGTAAATACATACAGTATGTCACCAAATAATTTTAAAATGAAATGATGAGCTGTATGAAACAAACAACAGTGTGTGGTCCTTAAATGGACTATTCAGCCTGCATTAATACATTCCTTCCTGATATATCACACTATACAGCAGCAATAAAGTTGTTCAAAAATCCCCACCTTTTATTACAAACTGCTCTTGAGTTTGTCAAATACCTTTGCCTACTGTGTGTTTATGTTATCAGTCTGCTGCAGGCAGAAGGAAGCATTTCCTCAATCTCCTCTCCCCTTGTGATAAGGCCAGAGGCATAGATTGAAGCTTGTGGACCACCAGAGCCCCCCCCCCCCCCACTACCACCTGCTGCTTTCACTGCATGCCAAGATACTGAGATACAAGATCTGGCTGAACATGCTCACAAGGTAGTGGCAGGTCAGCCACACTTTGAACTGCCAGTTGAAAGAAGTGGTCTTGTATGTAAAAGTGGAAACTCAGAGGACTGGCCTGGACACCAAACTCTGATTTCCAGATTCACATACTCTCACCTGGCAGCTCAGAGTGTGGCCAGCCTGCCCTCACCTTGTATGCAGATGCATGGTTGAATAGGGCTGAGTAGGACAGGGAGGATTCTGCACTGTGCTGCTATAGGATCAATTCCTGTCTGTAGCCCAAACTTGTCCTTGATTATTTTTCGCCATCAGGCCTGGGCGAAATAAAGCTCCGAGACACTGAAGTGTAAAAGCTAAATCTCTGAAAGTATAATGCAAGACAAGAACCGTTATACAGATCTCAATAGGTGATGCTTCATTTTAGGATGACCAATGAAACATTCCACTCTTATCAGTATAGTTACATGAAGAACAGAAACTGCAAATGGTTGATGAGTACCATATAAGATGGTTCTGTTTACTGGGGATAGAAACTAGAATCAGGAAAAGAGAGAGGAGTTATAAGTGAAACTCAGAAACTAACTGTTCACACATCTAGAAATGGAGGCATTATACAAAATGGATGTCAGTTAAATAAAACATATTTCCTTACAGGCTGGGTGGGGGGGGCTGAGTAGAGGGTGCACCCTTGGGGGAAAAGGGCTTGCCCCATTACCCTGTGTAGGTGAAACTGGAAACTGGGGAGGACCCAGGAAGGGCCTGGGCAGGCCCCTGCGTTAACTGAATTACTTATGCAGGGTGATGCTTTAAGCACTTTTCCCCAGTGACACAGTGTAAAGCCTAATGTAACAGGGAGGCTACTCAGGCCTCCCGGAGCATAGGTAGGGTTGCCACTGCAACCCCTGTGACCCCTCAAGCTCCACCCATTTCACAAGGTGTGAGGCTGCATCAGGGGCTGATCTGTATCAGACATTTGTAAACACAGCCAAGAACTTCCCAGACATCTATGAAACAGCATCTCAGTCCATCATGTAGATTTTAATCCTGTATAATGCCCAAACAAAGATGGCTCCAACGTTATGGAGAGAACAGCAGATTAAGGTATTGCCAAGGAAAGTACTGTGATCTCTGAGAGATACTTGTGTGTTTGAACATGTCTAAAATGCCTGCACTTATTAAGAATTACATCTGATGCAAGGTCCACTTTTACATAGTTAAAAAATACATGCAAAAAAATTACAATGGAAAACAGTCAAATATATTCCAAATAATTTTTTTTCGCTTCTGCAAAACATGTTTCTAACAACTTTTTAGATAAACAAACATTTGACTCACTTGTTTCTTCAAACCAATATTTTATGTCTGTAGACATGAACCTTGGTAAGCATTTCTATTGCCTGAATGGTCACCTCAGATCTTTAAGGACATACAGTGCCTTGCAAAAGTAATCATACCCCTTGAAATTTTCCACATATTGGAAAAATGAAAAAATATAAATTTATTTATTGGGATTTTATGTGATAGACCAGCACAAAGTGGCACATAATTGTGAAGTGGAAGGAAAATGATAAATGATTTTCAAAATGTTGTACAAATAAATATCTGAAAAGTGTGACGTGTATTTCTATTCAGTTTCCTGAGTCAAAACTTTGTAGAACCACCTTTCACTGTAATTCCAGCTGCAAGTCTTCTTGGTTATATCTCTACCAGCTTTGCACATCTAGAGAGTGAATTTTTTGCCCATTCTTCTTTGCAAAATAGCTCAAGCTCTGTCAGATTGGATGGAGAGCATCTGTGAGCAACAATTTTCAAGTCTTTCCACAGATTCTCAATTGGATTTAGGTCTGGACTTTGACTGGGCCATTTTAACACATGATTATGCTTTGATCTAAAGTACCATTCAAGTTCAATTTTGGTCTCATCTGACTGCAGAGCACCTTCTTCCACATCTTTGCTGTGTTCCCCACATGGCTTCTCGCAAAGTGCAAATGGGACTTCTTATGGCTTTCTTTCAACAATAGCTTTCGTCTTGCCACTCTTCCATAAAGGCCAGATTTGTGGAGTGCACGACTAACAGTTGTCCTGTGAACAGATTCTCCCACCTGAGCTGTGGATCGCTGCAGCTCCTCCAGAGTTACCATGGACCTCCTGGCTGCTCCGTCTGTCAGTTTTGGTGTATGGCCATGTCTTGGTAGGTTTGCAGTTGTGCCATACTCTTTCCATTTTCGGATGATGGATTGAACAGTGCTCCGTGAGATGTTCAAAGCTTGGGATATTGTTTTATAACATTATAACAATATTGTTTTAAAAACATGCAGCACATGTATGCAGTATTTTGTTTTCAGCGCACCGTGTCTGCACACCACCACAACTCAATGGTGTGAGCAGGGGCGGACTGACAACTCATGGGGCCCACGGGCAATAGGGGATCATGGCGCCCCTGTGTCCTTGCCCAAACTCAAAAAATCCTATGAAAAAGGTACCAGGGGCATCTCATTGGGCTCCCTACTGACCCCGGGACCTCGGGCAGTGCCGAGTTTCCAAATGGTCAGTCCACCCCTGGGTGTGAGCCTGACACATAGAAGACCAAGCATTTTACCTTGTCCATGTGGTGGGTCTGTGCTGGAATAGCCTCCTGAGGCAATCTCTCCACATGTAGTGTGAACCTACCCTAACCACTTTATGTCTGAGGCAATTTTGGAACTTTTCAAACACATACTAAAATTTGCCTTTTTGCTAGAAAATTACTTAAAACTCCCAAACAAGTCTATATTTTCTGAAAGCCTAGACCTTAAAGTATAAAATAGTGATAGTTACAATTTGTAATGTCACGCAACTTTTGTGCATCTGTTTATTAAACTCATATGTTCTGTAAAAAATATACTAAAATGCACCCATTTTTTTTTTTTAGTAAAATATTAAAGGTGAGGTTTCATCACATAAACATGTCAAGCCTTCAAAATAGGTAAAACGGAAAAAATTGACAATGGGAGACACTTTAAAGGCCTTTATAGCTCATTATTTTGAGTTAAGCATGAATTATGGCTCTAGAAGGATTGCGCTCACTGTGACAATTGCGGCAATTCCTCACATGTATGGTGCAATGGCTGTTTACATACAAATAGCTTTATACGAACGCTGAAGTTTTTCATTAATGGTGAAGGCACATACAGATGTTAAAAGTCTGCAGGCAGCAATGTGACTTTCATTCAGTAACACTTTAAAAAATAATTTGTGCCATTCTTCTTAGCCGCTAACAGATTCCATTGTTGCTCCTCTGTTAGCCCTATTCATTGACCTGTTCATTAGAAAAACAACACATTCACACTGTTACTTGAATCCAAGAAAGGAAAACACAACGTGTGCCAAGTAAATTGTTTTATAGCATGGATATACTGTACCTCTATCCTGAAACAATATCTCGGGACGTTAGTGCGCAATAAACAGATAATAGGCCTGTACTATTTATGCATTTTATGTGTCAATAGCTCAGTCCCTGCTGAAATCTTTATGGCCCTCAATAAACCCTCTTTACAGCATGGCCTGCTATCGTTTTATTGCACCTAAGGATGCAGCCAGTCTGACAAAGATTAAAACTGAATGTTACTCCTGTTCTGCCTTCTTAGCATAGTACTAAAGCACATTAAAAAGTAAGTGAAAACATTAAAACATAGAAATAAGTAAGAAAAAAAAATTAAAAATGAGGCAGACTTGATGGACCACTTGGTCTTCTTTTCTACCAGCACTCTTTTATGTTTCTATGATAGTTTTTTTTAAATTTGTGTAAGATTTGTTTTTTCTTGTGTAGCCCTACCGCTTGACAGTGCTTGTCCCCAGTGGTCCCCACTGATCTTGCATGCCTCCTGACACCTTTGACACTCTGGGTTCTGACATATTTCAACAGTATAGGATAATAATACAAGAGACACAGCTCTTTAGTATCGTCTCCATATTAGTTTTGTTCAAAAGAGTAGATAACAAGAATAATGGATTTGGTATATACAACCCCCAGTTAACGCAATAAAATAGAACACTGGTAAAATAGGAATAATCAATTAGCAATGCTTAACAAATTACTGTATACAGTCATGAGTAGTAAGCTTCAACTATCAGGCTGCGACACTAGCAGTAAGAGGGGGGAGAAAAGGCTTGCTGACTTATCAGCTCCCTCTAGGGCACCAGAGCAGCAATGCTAATTTTAATAACATTGGCCTTAGAAGAGAAGAGGTTCCTTTAACTAGACATTGCAACTTGCGTCCTGTGATGTTTAAAGTTCCTGATATGGTGGTGTCTGTTTTCTTCTGCTAGCAATGGTGGGTCCCATAAGCATTAGTGAATACTGGTAATTCACAATATTAATATTGTGTGAGTGCAAGCACACTTCAATTTTATATCACAAGAAGTCACGAGCATGGAAGTTTGATACATCATCTTTATTGGACTACGTATTTTTAATGATGTCTTAGATTGTCATCTAATTTATTGCGATATATTTTCCATTATTATTAAATTAGATCATTAATTGATCACTAATGTATACAGTTCACCAATGTTTATATTTGCCATTTGATACACTTAATTGATTATTCATTCATGTTTTTTTCTCGTCACTCATTTGACGACACTCTTTGTTACACTTACCTAGTGCACTCATTTGCGGCTTTTCATGCACTTGTCACTTTCTTATCGATTTTAATATTTAGCGCTGCATTTTATGTTTCCAGTTTGTTTGAGGATATAGGGGTTCATCCTTTATGCCAGCAGCTTATTTGAATTGAGCGCTCGCTTGCCACATTTTTTTGGAACACAGGATGTATTGGCTATAGGACTACAGGTCCCAAGATCCTCTGCTGTCATAAGAACTGGATCTACTCAGCTAACAAAACGTGATGTAGCAGTCCCAGTACTGGGCACTAGGGGGGAAAAAGAATGAACCAGAGTGGAAGACGGAGCATGGTGATAAACCCCTTAAAGGGGAACTGCTATTTGGCCTGATAAATCATCAGGTGATAGCAATATATAAAAGGTGGTGGGACTCACTGATCGAAGTTGTACAAGAACTGATGAATGATTTGACAATATGAATTCATATGTAAACCAAGGAACAAGGTGGTGATTGATTATTGGGACTTCACACACATATATTTAAAGATACAGAGACTTTATTTACATATGGAGTTTATTTATATTTTTTTAGAATAAATTGTGATATGTTGATTCGAACACATATTATTGGTAACATGTAAAGATAGATAATAGTATTTTTGTCTCATCTAAAAATGTCTCTGAAAGGCATAATGATATAGCCAGCACCTGGCTACATTTGTTATAAATATCAGGTATAACATTGTGCTTAGAATATTTTTCTTCATTGCTTAGGCACAGAAAACTATTAATAATGAATTAACCTTAACAGAAATAGAAAACAAACTTGTCCTTTTTTTTGTGAAACACGCCTCAGCCCCATGGTTTTAGTATCAGGATTCATATGCTTCCAATAGAGCCCACAACACTTTGCATACAACACAATACCATTCAAGTAATGACACTTTCACACTGTCACGGTGCATTTTTCCGGCACCATGGGCGCAGTGCAGCTTACCCGTGTGTTTTCAGCAGGTTAGCTGCACTATTCCTTAAAGTTCTATTGTGCCCCTCGTGTTTGTTGTGTTTTCTGAAGGTGCACCAAAACTCCTGCATGCTGTATCTTTGGTGTGTGCTTTCAGAAAGCACAACAAAAACACAGAAAAACAATATAATTCTATGGGAAAATGCAACAGTACAAATCCTCATCAAAACACACAAGTGAGGGAAAAAAACACCCCGTGGCAGTGTGAAAGTACCCTAATTCATGTTTCTAATGGTCTGCTGCCTTAGATAGAGCAGTGCTCAATAAATAAAACTTTTTGGAATATAGAGCTCAAGTGCCTCTGACTGTCCAACAGAGCATAGTATGAAATATTAGAAAAACCTCAAGCTACCTACTATAAACAATATACTATATAAGGATCCCCTGAAGAAGCCACGTGATATTGTGACGATACGCGTTGGGCCAGACTAGGTGACGTAATCAGAAGTGCGGGGCTGGAGCTACTGTTCTAAATGACAAGTGGAATGTTTAATACCTGTGCATTTCTTTATTTAAATTGGAAGTGCAATAACTTTAATAAATATACATTGTTTAAACTACTGCACTATGAGGAGTCCCTCTCTGTCCTGAACTTTATTGCAGAGTGACCACTAGGGAACGGCAATCCCTTAAAGGGACATACACAACATTTTGGGCAACATTGTTGCTGGAGTAATCGGAGGGCCACCACACTATACTTGCTGTGGAGACCAGAGTGGAAGACGGAGCATGGTGATAAACCCCTTAAAGGGGAACTGCTATTTGACCTGATAAATCATCAGGTGATAGCAATATATAACAGGTGGTGGGACTCACTGATCGAAGTTGTACAAGAACTGATGAATGATTTGACATATGAATTCATAAGTGAACCAAGGAATAAGGTGGTGATTGATTGTTGGGACTTCACACACACGTTATATTTAAAGAATACAGAGACTATATTTACATACGGAGTTTATTTCATATTTTTTTTAGAATAAATTGTGATATGTTGATTTGAACACATATTATTGGTAACATGTAAAGATAGATAGTAGTATTTTTTTATACATAGAAAAGGTAGGGCTGCACAGTTAGCACTTCTACCTAGCACTACCTACCCTGGAGGTTGCTTGTTCTCCCTGTGCCTATGTGGGTTTTCCTCCAGGTACTCAGTTTCCTCCAAAGACATGCTGGTAGGTTTATTGACTTCTGCCTAAAATAGTTCCTAGTATATGAATGTGAGTTAGGGACATTAGCTTGTAAGCTCCTCGAGGGCAGGGACTGCTGTGAATGTACAATACATTATGAAGTATTGCTTGATGGTGCTAAATAAGTACCCTGTAAATAAATAAAAGAAAGGTAGCACAGCATCTGTATATATTATTTTTTTATTCTAACAGAGCATTGGCAAAGAACAAGTTAATATTTTAAGCAAACATGGGGAGGGCAAAATCGCAGAAATGAAAAGAATTAGACCTTTCAAATATGCAACGTGGTTTTTTTGTGTGTGTGTGTGTGTTGGGTTTATTAGTAGATGTAAACCCGCTCACTAAAATCTTGCAAAAACAACCTAAATCGCACTTTTACCCATAACAACTTGATGATAATGTTCTTTAGCAAGAAACATATATTGCATACTAATAATCATACTATCAAAATGAGTGCATGCTGTAAATTGCCTCCAGCATTGTTCCTGTTTTTTCTTGCTGGAGGCTGCCATTTTACTGAAGCCCAGAGCCCCTGAGCAGCAGTAAATATTTAGGCTGTCAGCAGATCAGCCTCTACAAAATTGGTCCAGTGACAAAAAAATAGAGAGCAACTGAGCATGTGTAAGATGGGGAAACAGCTTTCATTGTTTGAACACTGATTGAAGTAAATAAAAACGTTCTGACTGAGATTCTGCAGTTTAGCCACAAGATGGCACTATTTTTCTAACACAGCCTCAGACTGCATAGAGATTTCTATATTCATGAAGGGGTGGG